GTTTTTTTAATTAAGTATAGATTAAAGAATGTCTTTTAGAATTATTAAAAAATATATATATACAGCTATTATTAAAGTTTTTAAATACTAAATAAATATTAATTATAATAGACTGCTAGACTAGTTCTAATTAAAAAATATTTTTTACTTTAACTGGGTATTTTTTAATAAAAGATATAGATTATTATAAAATTCTACTAGGCTTCCGACCGGTATTTAGATTTTATATTAGTAAAAATCTAGCTATAATTATTTTATTAGTTTTATATAAATATAATCTATTTTATTAGTTATTAGATATAACAACTAATAATACTAGTAATAATAGTTTAATATTTAATATAATCTTATCTGAACTTTGGATTTAGTTTAATTAAAGTATCTAGTTTTATAATATTTTATTCTATCCCGATCTTATAATAATTATTTAAAGCTAGTATTATATATTTTGTTTTATTTATATAATTTAGTTTATAATTAATATTCTTCTATAAAAACTTCGGATTAAAACTTTAAATAGTACTATTAAATATATATAGAAGATTTATAATAAAAGTCTTAAAGCTTTTTTTAGTATTTTAAAAATTCTTAAAAAGATATATTCTAGAAGCTATTTATAAAAAACTAATATAAAAAGCTTCTACTATCTATAATAAAAATTATTTAGATTAGTTTTTTATAGACAGGTTCTAAAGATCTTTTTTTAATAATAGCTAATTTTACTAATTCTTGATTATAGATTCGGAAGATTATATAATTTATAAATATAAGTTTTTAATATTATAAAAAGTTTTAGTTTATTTAACGACTCAAATTAGGCTTAGTTTACTATTTTTTTTTAATTATAAAACTTACTAGAACTTAACCTATTTTATAATTCGCCGGATACTTAATTTTTATTAAGCAATCGAGAGTTTTGTTTAATATTATAATTATAATAATATTAATTATTTTTATTCTACTATAATTAAATAAAAACAGATAAAATATCTTTTTAAGCTTTTATATCTTTTTTTTTTTTTATATTCTATCTATCTGAAAACAGTAGGCTTACTGTTTATAAGATTTATAATATTTATAATAATCTTTTTAATTATCTGGATTATTTAATTAACCGACTGGTAAAAAAGCAGGTATTCTAAAAAAAAAAATTCTTAAAAACTTATAAAATATATATTAAAAATTCTAAAAATACTATTATTATATTTATTAGATAGAAGACTATATTTATATAATTATAACTATTCTAAACCCAATATTAAAACTTAAAAAATTTAAAAAGAATATCTAGCTAAATAATAATACTAACTAGTATTATAAGTACCGAACTATTTTTAAAAAGATATTTTATTTTTATTATAATTAGAATCTGGTTATTAATATACTATTAACTATCTTTAGATTATTATTAGGCCTAGATAAAATCTTTTATAATATTTTTAAATATTAAAGATTCTTACCAGCAGTCGAGCTATTTAAAAAACTTAAAATATATCTAGATATTAAAAATATATAATTTATAAAAATATTTTTAATTAAACTAATATTATTTTAAGTATTATAAAATATACTAATATTCTTACTTACGAAAAGTCCCGCCATAATTAGTTTTTTATTTTTTATTAAATAGCTAGAGATTTTCTCTCGGTTGCTACTAATAGTATTAGTATTAAATATTTATTTAATAATTTTTAAAATATCTGCTACTATTACCGGAGCTGTTTTTATACTAATATAATTAAAACAGTAATACTTTAGATATATATTAATTATTTTACTATTAATAAAAAGTACTAGAATATTTTTAATAATCTTAATCCGGGTTTATTTATCTTTATATTTAAGAAGTAAAAAAAAAAAAGATAATTACTATCTTCTATATTAATAAAAATAAGAATATAAATAATCTTAAAAATAACTTAAAAAATAGATTATTATTAGAAACAGAGAAGCTAGCTTTATCTAAATCTTTAAATATTATATATACTTAGATAAAAATAAAAACCCGGTTTTTTTAATTTTTTTATTATTATAATTACCGTTCTGGATAGTATAAAGAATAGTATAATCTTATTAGTTTATCTAATATTAGATACTATTTTTTTTATACTAGATTTTGTAAAAATCTTTTTTAAAATATAGTATACCTCTTAGCTCTACAGGGGAAAAAATCAAGTAGATTAAATAAATTAAATAAATTAAGTAGATTAAGTAAGTTAAATAGATTAAACAGATTAAGTAGATAAGTTGAAAGAATTAGAATTATACTATAATATTAAACAGATAAGCTAAATCTAAAGAATATTATTATATTATAATTAAAAATATATTATATTTTATATATTATTTATATAAAAAAAATATATATATTATTAATTAACCTGCGGTTATTAATCTATCTGTTATATCTAATCTTTCTAACCGGTAGGTATAAACAGTTAAAATAATAATTATATCTTAATCTAACTATAACTGTACGGTTAAAATTTTTTTATATCTTAATCTGACCGCCAGGTTATGGCCAGGTTAAGATTAAGGTATAACGGTCAGGTTAATCCACTCTAAGTTCGGTCAAGACTGTTGTAAACATTATTCTGGATTTTTTAATTATTTCTAAGTTTTATATAGGTGGCTGGTCTTCTAATATTAATATGCAGGCTGCGATTTGTCTGGGCTGTAATATAGTCGCGGCTCTTACTGGCTTAGCATACTTTATTCAGATAATAAAGCTGTCCGAAGAACGATCTAGTTGGTACTAGATCTAAGAATTCTCTAAATTTTCTGTCTTTTTAATACTTCTTAAACCAGGTTTGATTATCTTTATCGAGTCGGCAGTTTGAAATGTGCTATACCTCTAGTTAGTTATAGAAATCGTGATAATATCTGCAGACTATACTACAGTATGGGGAATATTTACTACAATTTAATAAAGGCTGATTATAGTGCCTGTTTAGATACTAAAGACTACGTTTCTTGCTTTTATAGAATATTTCTAGGCTATTTTTAAAAAAAAATAATATATAAAATAGGCGCTGGAAAAAACTTGCAAGTAAGTTCCAAGTTATTAAGCAGCTTTTGGAGATAAAACTTATGTTTTATAGTAGTCACACGACCGGTTTTTCTTTCTGCTGATATAGCTTTAGTTATTAAAGTATCTCTCTGTATTCTTCTGGCTATTATAGGATGCAAACCGTTTGCTTACTATCTGAGTTAATCTAAAAGGATTGCTGAGATTACAGCTTATATATAGCAGACGATAGACTGGTGAGTTCCCAGTGGCTATAATTTCTGAATTACTGATTGTCCATCATCATCACTCATGCATTCAAGGTGTTACATTCTGTTTGCTAGGAAAGCAGGCTTACCTGTACCAAAAGTCATCTGTTATGGAGAGCATGCTGATAGCCCTCATGCGCCGGTTTCAATCCTAATGACGCGTGTTTCTGGCAAGGAGTTAGGTCAAGTCTATAATACACTCAGCGACGAAGAGAAAGAGGCGGTATTTCGACAGCTTGATCACTATTTGACGTCTATGAGGAACTGGAAAAATCCGTAGAGCAAGAGCACAATCTGCTCTATAGTGGGAACGCCTATTAGAAGTATTCGGGTACCCAATCACCTTGTGTGTCTATTCAAGTCAGAGCAAGAATTCAACGATTATTTAATGGGACCGGCCTGGTCGGGCGGATTCCCGTCCGAATCGGCCTATCGCGAAGCAATAAATCAAGCTAAAAAGATGGAGCTACCACATCGCGTTGTCTTTAAACACGGCGATTTGCAACACCACAATATTATAATCTACAAAGAACGCATCACAGGCTTTCTAGACTGGGAATCAGCAGGCTGGTATCCTAAATATTGGGAATTCACAACAGCGTTAAGATTCACGCCCGAGGACTTCTGGTGGTATCACTTCGTGATTGAGCTCGGTGGAAAGTCTTTCATATTGGAATAAGCTGTGAAAGGGCATTGACTTCTTTGACCAGTGCCTCTTATTACTGGCAATAATCTACTCATTTCCAACCTTTCACCCAAACTACCTTAGTGAGGCTGTGTTCTGAAACAATCGTTTTCTCATGCTCAAGAGCTGCTCGGATTTACCGTTGTCCATGCCGTATAAGCCTCTTGACCATAGAAGGGGAATTAAGGTATTGATTCATTGCAAGTAGTTGTCTCGACCTCTAGCTCGTGCACATGCTGCAAGTTCATCTTGGCTTTCATTCACATGAAAAATCCGGACAGAAAGTGGGATGCTGAGGTTCAGACTGAAACCAATTATATTCTGATAGTTAGCTCTATCAATCCCCTGGATGGGTAAGGACATTAAAGGACAGAACCGTGTATTCTGAAACCTAGTGGTGCGGGTGAATCTATCGAGTATATTCTTCAAGATCTAGAACAGGTGATGATAGAGGCAGATTAATCAATCAATCTGGGTGATATAATAAGGTAATAATTCGACGGTTGGTTAGGCTATTCAGGCTGTGTTCTGATGCATTGTGTGAATAAACCATTAAAGATTGTTTCTTTCCGTTTCGCGTACATAACTAGTCAGCGTTTCTTCTGCTTGCTCTCGGGGAGAAAGTTAGAAATCCAAAAGGCCATCCGGCAATTGCTTGTACAAATGTACTGAATGGTGTTAAAATTATTATAACTTGGTGAGATATCCTCCGCAGGTGATATATTATATCTGTTTACAAGCGGCAGAGAAACAGAAGAAATAGCTAAAAGCAAACTATAATCTATATTATTATCTTCTAGTTAATAATATTAGTTTATAATTTTTACTAGAAGAAAAGTTTTTTATAGTATTATATTTATAATTACCTACTAATTAAATATTCTTTATTTATTGTTTTTTAGAAATAAGTAAACTTAATATAGTAAAGTTGCTTAGTAGTAGAATAGAAGGATACGGTACAGATAATAATAGCTAGAATTCTGCAATCTTATTTTTTGTATAATATTAAATATAAATACAGAATAAAACGAAAAAAACTAAATATATAGAAAATAATACCCGATATTATATTTCTATTAATTTATAGTTCTTTATAGTTGGTTAATTCCGATAAGACAGAACTACCTGTTAATATTATTATTTCGATCTACTGTACTCCGAAGAAATATAAATATTTATATTTAAGTACTTAATACTGTTAATAAATCTTAATCAGCTGGTTTAGTTGTATTTTATATATTTTCTTTAAATTACGTCTAAATTTACAAATAAACTAGTATTTTATTAAAATAAGGCCTTAGAAATATACCGGCGGTCTTTCTAATTTTAGATAAACTATTTTTATTTAGATCTTCTAAACTCTTTCCTCGGCTAGTATTCTATAGTAAAAGTATAAGAAGCTGTAAATAAATTAAGACTTTAATATAATATATTATAAAGCTAATTATAAGATATTCCGTGCTTTAATAACTAGACTAATTTTTATATAATAGTATAGTATATTCTTAAGTATATAATTATAAGCGGTAATATAATCTGCTGTTTTCAGATACTTTATACAGATAATTTATTAATATATATTAATTTTTCGAAGCTTGTACTATAGGCGATCTGTTATATATATAAACTGTACTTAAATAAGGCTAATATACAGAGAAAAGAATTAAAGAATATTCTAATCTCGAAAAATAACTTTTAATTTAATATTTTAATATTAGTTCTGGGGATTTGCTTCCGTAATATAAATAAGCAGATAAAATAAAATATTTTAATAATATTTACTTTAATATTAATCGATAAATAAATTATTTTATAATAAGATTAATAAAGCAAAAAAAGCCCCAAGTTTTGTTCAAGTCTTAAAGATTTTCTGGCTTTCTAATAAGATTTAGATATTTTGGTTAATAATTAATTATTAACTTGGCCTAGGCGCTAATAATAGTAAATTATATATAGTATTAGACGAAAAATACTGAATTTATAAATAACAGCCAGTACTAATTTTAAGAAAATAAAACTAATTATAATTACTAAATTCTAATTAATATTTAAAATATTATTATACTCGAAGTATAGACGCTGTTAAACTTATTTAAATAACCGGATTTTTATATTTAATAAAAATAGAAAATTTTATAAGAACAGTAATAATAGCTGTAGTTATTTAATTAAAGGCCTGAGTTTAGTATCCCAGGGTTTTATCTGCTAGTTATTATTTAGATAGACCGCAAGTATAAAAGCCTGAAATTCTCTGAACAGAAAAAATAATATATAAATATTATAATTTTACTTCTTCTGGCGATTTGGTAATTTGCTTTTTTTTTTACTATTAAGATTCTATAAAAATACTAGCTGAATATAATAATAATATATATGCTAACCGACTGTAAAATACAGCTACTATCGATTTAAATATAATAAGATCTATTAGTAGGATTTTTCAGATATTAAATCAGGCAAAATATAAGATAATAATAGATAGGTTAGAGCTTTGCTTAAACAGAGATTAAATCCAAATATTTAAATTTTTACTAGAAAATATAATAATAGTAGAACTATACTTATTAGACCGATAGTACGGTAAATCTCGCACTTTTTAACTAATAGCTAGAATATTAAAAAGAACCTCTATTTAACCGGCAGATAAAAATATAATTAATCTAATAATAGCTAATATTCCTGCTCGGTAGTTAGTTCTAATTAATAAACCTACTCCGCAAAAAATATAAAGATGCTTACTATTATAAACGAGAAACTAGGCAATTAGTTAAGTATATATTTTTATTTTTTATTATCTCTGAAAAGCAAATAAAAGCTTTAAAAAATATATTTAAAAAAAATAAACCGTATTTTTTTATTTTAATAGAAAGAAAAACGCAGTATAAGAAAAGAATAGTAAAAAAACCTCCCGCTAGAGTGGATTAACCTGACCGTTATACCTTAACCTTAACCTGGCCATAACCTGGCGGTCAGATTAAGATACAAAAAAATTTTAACTATACAGTTATAATTAGATTAAAATATAACTATTATTTTAACTGTTTATATCTGCTGGTTAGAAAAATTAGATATAATAAATAGATTAATAACTATAGGTTAATTAATAATATATATATTTTTTTATATAAATAATATATAAAGTATAATATACTTTTAATTATAATATAATAATATTTTTTAGATTTAATTTATTTATTTAATATTATAATATAGTTCTAACTCTTCTGACTTATCTGCTTAATTTATTTAATTTATTTAACTTATTTAATCTACTTAATTTATTTAATTTATTTAATTTATTTAATTTATTTAATCTCTTCCCCCGTAGAGTTAAGGGATATATTATATTTTAAAAAAGATTTTTATAAAATCTAGTATAAAAAAAATAATATTTAATATTAGATAAATTAATAAGATTATACTATTCTTTATACTGTTTAAAACGATAATTATAATAATAAAAAAATTAAAAAAACCGGGTTTTTATTTTTATCTAAATATATATAATATTTAAAAACTCAGATAAAGCTAGCTTTTCTGTTTCTAATAATAATCTATTTTTTAGGTTATTTTTAAGATTATTTATATTTTTATTTTTATTAATATAAAAAATAGTAATTATCTTATTTTTTTTTTACTTCTTAGATATAAAAATAATTAAATCTGGATTAAGATTATTAAGAATATTCTGATACTTTTTACTAATAATAAAATAATTAATATATATTTAAAGTATTATTATTTTAATTATATTAATATAAAAACAGCTCCGGTAATAATAGTAAATATTTTAAAAATTATTAAATAAATATTTAATATTAATACTATTAATAGTAACCGAAAGAAAATTTTTAATTATTTAATAAAAAATAAAAAACTAATTACAGCGGGACTTCTAGTAAATAAAAATATTAATATATTTTATAATATTTAAAATAATATTAGTTTAATTAAAAATATTTTTATAAGTTATATATTTTTAATATTTAGATATATTTTAAGTTCTTTAAATATCTCGGCTGCTGGTAAAAATCTTTAATATTTAAAAATATTATAAAAAACTTTATTTAAATTTAATAATAATCCGGAGATAGTTAACAGTATATTAATAACCGGATTTTAACTATAATAGAAATAAAATATTTTTTTAAAAATAATTTAATACTTATAATATTAGTTAGTATTATTATTTAGTTAGATATTTTTTTTAAACTTTTTAAGCTTTAATATCGGGTTTAAAATAATTATAATTATATAAATATAGTTTTCTATCTAGTAGATATAATAATAGTATTTTTAAAGTTTTTAATATATATTCTGTAAGTTTTTAAAAATCTTTTTTTTTAGAATATCCGCTTTTTTACTAGTTAGTTAATTAAATAATCCAGATAATTAAAAAAATTATTATAAATATTATAAATCTTATAAATAATAGGCCTACTATTTTTAAATAGACAGAATATAAAAAAAAAAAAAATATAAAAGCTTAAAAAAATACTCTATCTATTTTTACTTAGTTATAGTAGAATAAAAATAATTAATATTATTATAATTATAATACTAAACAAAATTCTTGATTATTTAACAAAAATTAAATATCTGGTAAATTATAAGATAGATTAAGTTTCAGCAAGTTTTATAATTAAAAAAAAATAATAAACTAAGTTTAATTTAAGTTGTTAAATAAGCTGGAATTTTTTACAGTATTAAAAGCTTATATTTATAAATTATATAATCTTTCGAATCTATAATTAAGAATTAGTAAAATTAGCTATTATTAAAAAAAGATTTTTAAAGTCTGTTTATAAAAGACTAATTTAAATAGTTTTTATTATAAATAATAGAGGCTTTTTATATTAGTCTTTTATAAATAATTTTTAGAATATATTTTTTAAAAGTTTTTAAAATATTAAAAAAGATTTTAAGACTTTTATTATAAATCTTTTATATATATTTAACAGTACTGTTTAAGACTTTAATTTAAAGTTTTTATA